CTCCACCAATCGTCTCACTAGGTGAATATTTCTGAAAAAAATAAAAAAAATGAAAAGAAACAATTGGAAAAAAAAAAGTATTACCTCCATTCCGGTTTATGTGAATCTATTTTCTTTTTGGTCGGTTAAAAAAAGAATGACCTCTTTCTAAATTTGGAAATAATTTTGCTTAAACTTACAATTCTACCCTTAATAAAAAACTTTTATAACAATATAAATACTCTAGACCCCTTTTTGAATTATTTAGGACCATAAATTCTAAATTTCTTTTTTTTTTAAACTCCGTTCTCAATCAAATATGTTCACATAAATTGGATTGAATGGAACGAGTATATAAAATGTCTCCTATATACCTGATACGACTTTACAGTATAAGAATCTCATTGGAAAAATTTCGTTCCTTTGGTCTTTCCGTATTCATTCGTACATCACGCGAAAGAGTCTTGTCGGAAAAAATATAAAAGCGCAGGCCGAGGCGAGGCCGGCTACTAGTCAATGGTCAACACGATCACTATCAATCTGCAGTATTGGAGAAGCCAGTAATTTTCTCAAGTGCCTTCAAATTTGAAAGTAGTAAAGAAAAATCACAAAGGTTAGTACCTCAAAAGCATGATATTGTATGTATACAATATAATTTTCCGGAATTGACCACCCTTGACAAAGGGTAGCTTCGCCCGTGAGCTGGGGACCTTTATATTAATTCAACACGTAGTCTTAATTACTCCGTGTTTAGTACCTAACGAACTTGGAAAAAGTGCTTTTAACTTTTCTGGATGCTTCCTTCCTTGATGTTTCTACTCTCTATGGGATTCCTCTCCAGTTTGTGCAGTTGTTTAGAGAAACGACGGAAAAGCGGCGGCGCAGGTGTCGGAGACGAAGCCGATGACACGGAAGATGACTTGTTTTTTGAGCTCCGCACTTTGCAAATTGCTACTAACTTCTTCTCCGACCTTAATCAGCTTGGTCACGGAGGCTTTGGACCTGTTTATAAGGTGCGTTTCCTCGATTTTTTGTTTTTGTTCTATAGTTAACCACGGTTCATTTCTTCGCACAAACACTAAAATTCTATTGTTTTATTGAAATACGAAGAGCCGAATTAGGTACTATAAAAATTTACCTACAATTACGGGACCAATTGTGGTTGTTTCATTGCATTATTGTTACATTTCGCACTAATATGTCTTTCTAAGATAGGAGATCCACTTGAAAGCCGTCCTGTTGGGGAGATGATTAAATAAATAAATGTGTCTCCATGTAAGAGCTTAAACTTTTCGATTAGGTGGTCTCATAATTTAACATGGTATAGAACATGCAAATATACTTAGATCAAGTCTCATCGCTACACGTTAACAAAAAATATTTCCACATAAATCACATTTGCACGTGAGTACGCCTGTTAATACACAGTTAAAATAAATACATATGTACACCTTTTGAACATCTTAAGCTTTTAGGTGAGTGCTCATACAATCAACGGAACAAGTCAAATTGCTGTTTGTACATGTAGTATTTACTGTTGCGCAGCTAAGATAATTGTGACACGCTATCTTTGGGCTTTTTATCTTATCTATATGAGTAGTGCAAAGGATTATCTTTGCTACCCCAAGCCTAACATTCACTGCTGGGAATTCCTAGGTAGTGTAATGATTTACATGCCTACATAGCTATTCAGCAATAAACTATTATTCCTGTGATGTTTCATTAATAATGCTGCTAATGACAACAAGCTTGTCAAAAGCTAATCTTGACTTCTATTTACAGAATTGGGTGGATTGTTGTGTTGATTGGTTGAATGTGTATGAATTGATATAAGGTACAGAAGTGGTGACAATCTTGGCAAATGATGGACATGAGATGAAATATGGTGGTTGTGGTGATGAAACAGTAACCATGATTGTAAAGGGTAATTTGTTCTTTGTACTGATGATAAATTCTTGGACGGGAGAGAGAAGGTCAAGATGCAAGTCGTGGTGTTGAGTTGGGCATAGGCTGTCGAATAGAATATTGCTGATGTTGCTTTATAGTGCGTAGGTCCTTGAACTGCTAATTTTCCATGTAGTACCATCACGGACTCCTGTTGCTTAGGAACCGAACCTGTAAAATAGTATTCGCTAATCAGTAACAAGTTTTCATACATCAGAAACATTCTCCAAATGAAAACTAAATATTTCAAAATTCCGAGACTCCAGTCAATAATTAATTCAGCTGCCCTAATAGACTTCATATGGTTACTATAGTTGTATAGTTCAATGAGGAGATGCGAAGTCTATCTTGATTTTATCATTTTATTACTTTTCTTCACAGGGACTGATGCCAAATGGTCAGGAAATTGCTGTAAAGAAGTTATCCGTAGATTCAAGACAGGGAATAAAAGAATTCACAAATGAGGTGAAATTATTATTGAAAATTCAGCACAAAAATCTGGTTATTTTGTTCGGTTGTTGCGTGGAAGGACCTGCAAAGATGCTTGTGTATGAGTATCTGCCAAATAAAAGCCTTGACTGCTTCCTCTTTGGTAAAATAAACACTCATGATGCCAAGAATTTCTTGAATACCATCAGGCTCGGGAAAAACTAATAAAGTGCGATTTTTCAGCTAAGGAGAAGTCTCCATCTTTGGATTGGACGAAGAGATTACAAATAGTTACTGGTATCGCAAGAGGTCTTCTCTATTTGCATGAAGAAGCCCCTGTAAGAATCATACACAGGGACATTAAGGCCAGTAATATATTGCTGGACGAGCAATTAAATCCAAAGATCTCAGACTTTGGTCTGGCGAGGCTGTTTCCAGAGGACGGCACTCATGTAAATACATTTAAAATCTCTGGTACATAGTGAGTGTTATTTCCTTTCCTTGTATTTTTTTTGAATCACCAAGTGAAAAAAAAAAGGGGTTCCTCTGCTCCCATTTTCCTCCCCTTTTTTTCAGTGCAGGCTCTCCCTTAAATGTCATCTGAGCTGCTTCTGCTGAATGCAGTGGTTATATGGCTCCGGAGTATGCATTGCATGGTTATTTGTCCGTGAAGGCAGATGTGTTTAGCTTTGGCGTTTTGCTATTGGAGATTGTAAGTGGAAGGAAGAACAGTGATCGGCGGCTTGATCCACAAAAGGCAGACCTCTTAATCTATGTAAGTTCCAGTCCCAAAAACTTCAATGTATAAGTTTTTTGTTTATGTGATTGAACATGCGTATGATTTGCATTGCTTTCATGAGTTTTGAGTTTAATTTCATACTTGAATATCACTAAATACCAAGGGATCGTTTGGTTCAAAACCAGGATATCCCATGATTAGTCTCAGGAATATAACCTGGATAACTTATCCCATCTTTTATATGGGATAAGTTACACCAAGTTTTTGGTTTAAAAATAATACTGGTTTTAGTTAATACCTCCGACCAAACACGGGATAAATTTAATCCCAAAATTTATACCGGGATATCCCACCTAATCCCCGACTAAATGACCCCTAAGAGGGCTTGGCCTGGAAATCAGATATTCAAATTTTATATCAAAATAAGAACTTGCTGTCATGGGCATTTCTTGAAAGTAGTATTACATCTTAGAGCATAGTTGAGACAACCAGTCAGTTGTTGTTCTCTGCTGCACATTAGCAGGAAAAAGTGACTGGCAGTGACAGCCACATAACCTTCCATTTTCATTCCTGAAGAAGGAAAAGATCTAGAACAACTTTTGATATTTAACCATCCACTCTCCTCTAGAGTAATTTGAGGATGTAGAAATAAATATATCCTCTCTCTTTTTACAGGCCTGGGAACTATTTCAAGAACGGAGGACCTTGGAGCTTGTTGATTCTAGCCTTGAAAACTATGATGCTGATGAAGCAGCAATGTGTATTCAGTTAGGATTACTGTGCTGTCAATCTACTGTTTCAGATAGGCCCGATATGAACTCTGTTAATCTCACGCTTTCAAGTGATTCATTTACTTTACCAAGACCTGGTAAACCGGCAACACAAGGCCGTGTAAGCAGATGGACAACTGATAGTTCTAGTGCCTTGACAAAAAATACTACTACTAATACTACTACTACTACTACTAATGCCAGCAGTACTTTAACTGGTGCGACAAATGCTACTTGTTCTACTAAGGTTTTTGGAGGCAATAGTTTTGTTGAGGATTATTCTAGAAATTCTATCTCATATTCTTCTATGGACGAAGGTAGATGACCTCATTTCAAAGACGGAGTTAGGATTTGAGTCTTATGGGTTCTGGATTATAATTCTTTTAAGCTAATGAGTTGTAAATTAATAATTTGTACATATTCATTAAATATCTTAATACAAATACAGAGTTTGAACAAAACCCCTGTCTCATTTGTATTGTAAATTTGTAGTGAGTTCGTTATTTTCCGTGTATATTTTGTTATTTACCTCATTTATCAGTTCACTTTGTGTGTGCGTGTGCCCACGTGTTTAATATATGTCAAATATGTCTTTCTCATCTTCTTGGACTATATTCATGTGCAATCTGTTATAGGAAGACGCACTAAAATATGGTCCTATTTCTAAGCTTATTGTGTAAATATAAAGGACCATAACAGAAGCGCATAACTTAACGGTACTAAGCTTAACAAATTATTATTCCCTCCAGTTTTAAATGCTAAGCATTTTGGCAAATTGAACAAATTTATTCTTACGGTTTTAATTAGTGAAATATTAAGGGTATGCAACATTTTAAAAAGTAAATAATATGGACACGAGGTACTATTTGTTAAGATAACAAGTCAAACGTTTTTATTTAGCACTACAGCAGTTTCTCAAAAGGGTGTCCTTTCCCATGTTTTCGTCCACTTCAGGACAAGAACAAATACTTGAATGTTGCTAATGACCTACACTTATTTTCTCCGAGCTAACATGTGAGTTTTTATAGAGTGGAGTTGTGAATTTAGTAAGAGCCAAAACCAAGATCCGAGGAACTTGAAGCTCGAGTCAACATGTTTTCTCCCAAGACACGATTCAATAAACGTAGAAGACTTATGTCAGTATTTGTTACACTTAATTGGAGCGTAGGAAGTAGAAAGGAAGTGTGAGATTGGGTGCATGTGGCATGGGTTTCAGAAAATACACAAGAACCCACGCCGCAGTTATAGCCACCGACTACTGACTCAGAATAAACTAACACACCCCATTCTGATTTCTGATTCTACCATTCATTATCAGCCATCTCATTTTTTATACTCTTTTCTCAATACCCTCTGAAAAAATATAAAGGAAAGCCACTAATTTTTTATGTAAAAGTTCACCAACTGCTGCTCATCATCTTTCTCCATATTGCTTTGCTTTTTATGCTGGGGAAAGGGAATAAAGCCACTTTTAAAAGTCGCTCACTCACACCCACTTGAGAAAAGAAGATACTTGATCCCTTTGCCCCTGCAAATACCAGTTTGAAACAAGACTCTTTCTAAAGGCATGCCAAATTGGGAGCTGAAGCATTGTTGCAAGCATGAACAAGTCGTTTTTCTCGCCACTCTCGGCGTTTGCTCCGTTGTCATTCTTGCTGTACTTCCCTTTGCTTCTCCATTTTTCTTTTCTATCACATTCATACTCTCACATATTCAAGGAAAAGTGCTATCTTTATGATAAGGAATATTTTCTTGGATATCTTAATAATGGATCTCAATTGTGGAAATGTTATGTGCGTCGCTAGGCTTGATCCTTTCCCTCTTTATGGGTGCTCTGTTTTCCCCTTTATTTGTTGCTTATTGTAGAATTTTCTCCACAATCCCCCAACCAAAGAGCATATTGAGTATACCACTTGAACTATAGTTTTTCTTAAGCAGTGAATTGTGTTTAGCCTCTTTTCATCTGCACATTCTTATGCAGTACGTACCATTTACCTTATTGTCTCTCATAAATTCGAACCTCAGGAAGTCCACTGATGTGTTATTTCCTCCTTCCATGGGGTGAAATGGGGTGGGGGGGGGGGGGGGGGAGACCAGCNTCAAGATTTAATATATATATATTGGTACAATATGATCCATTATTAGAGAGCAATCCTGACCCCGACGGATCATTCCTTTTTCCGATTTGGATCCATAACAATGGATTGATTTGATTGTCACCAACTTTTTAACTGTCCGTGGTGTCTCAATGTTGTAGTTATGGTAAATTATCAACTGGTCAAGTTTACTTGTCTTCTACTTTTTGGAAATTTAAGCTGTTGTGACTTAGTGCTCTATCTGTGACCATTCTGTTGTTTGTTTCTTGCAGCTTTGGAGGACAGTGCTACTACTACCTTTCAAGCTTGTTACCGTGTTTATTCATGAAGCTAGTCATGCTATAGCGTGCAAACTTACTTGCGGCCATGTAAATAGTCCTCTCTCATTCTCTTAATTTGTCGAAAGCTGATTATGACATGTACTTGTAGAGTTTCATTTTGTAATAGAATATGATACTTACTGCACCACCGAGATACTTTAGGAGTTGCACCATCCTGGGGTGAGCAGAACATATCTATCAGATAAAATGCTCGAGAAGTATTCCAGTGCTTGGTTGTTGTTAGCAAATATACTATTATAGTCCAGTATTATCATTATCATGCTTCATAGCAGTAGAGAGAAAAAGAAAATCCTGAACATATCCGTCTTCAATGCTTGCTTCAAATTCCTTATACCCTACATATGTCTTTGTAAATTGGGGAACTTTCTCACTACCAACTGCTTTATTAGCTATGACATTGGCATATATATCTTTATACAAACCAATTACTAGCAAATAGTCCTATCTTCAGCCTTATGACACAGATGGGTCTGCTCTTCCTATTTTAGCTGATTTTCTGAAGGTTGTATCCATCTGCAGGTTGAGGGGATACAGGTTCATGCTGACGAAGGTGGTACTACCCAAACACGTGGTGGCGTATATTGGTTCATCTTGCCAGCTGGATGTATATTTCTATCACTTCCGTGGTCACTTACATTTTATGTTCTTATTAAAATGAATTATGAACTTATTGATTTAGTTCTGTTTTGGTTGATTAGATGTATAGACGATCTTAGAACTAACAGAGTAATTTTCGATACTTTCTTATCTCAAAATAATATTGCAAACTACTGTAAAATGCCCATAATGATTTCTTTCTGTCATTGGCTGATGTTAATAACATATGATACTCTTGTTTGGTTATCAGTTGTATTTTTTCCTCTATAGATCTTGGTTCAGCATTTTGGGGAATGGTTTTAGTGCTCGCATCCACCAAGCTCCTTACAGCAAGAATTGCAGCAGGATGTTTAGTGGTCACTCTAATTGTTGTTCTTTTTGTGGCTAAAAATGTGAGTGATCAATTAATTCCCTTAGAGCATCTCAAATTCATCCTATCTATGATCGCCTAGCCTAAATGGAATTACATATGTGATTAGTGACAAAGCATCCTAATGGAATGATATATTTGATAAACTTGGCGTATAACTAATCGCAAAGTAGCAGGTGTTCTGAAATAACTTTTAATAACTATCTCGGCGTCTTCTTTGCAAAGATTTTTGCTTTGTTATAGGACTGAGACATTGACATGATCATGAATAGGAAGGTGTGGAAGTTGAAATTAAGGTAGATGGTTAGGGCAGGTAGCCGAGCGTTGTCCTTGACGGTAACAGTAGCTTTCGTACGATGATTTAGTGTTATTTGTGTATTCTAGTATCCCTTGACTTCTGTGATTACTTGTTTTGCTTTCATGTCGGCTTTCTGATTGCAGTACCTAGTGTATTTAGTTTTGTATTTTTGCTTCGTTTTCTAATTGGTATGCTTGTTGTTGTTGCCCTTCCCTTTACCTATCCTAAGCCGAATGTCTTCCGGAAACAGCCTCTTTGCCTTCTTGAAGATAGGGATAAGGTCTGCGTACACACCACCCTCCCCAGACCCCACTTGTGGGATTACACTGGATTTGTTCTTGTTGTTGTATAGGACTGAGACATTGTGCTCGTTGATGTTGTATCTTTTAAATGATAATGGTCTTAATATGCATGGTTCTGCGATGAAGTTGGTGTACTTTTCTTACTGATCATGTCATGTCTCTTTTCTGCAGTGGACACTCCGGGGCCTTTGTATTGGTAAGATCATTCAGCCAACAAGGTTTTTCTAATATTTTGATACCATGAAAATTAGTCCAAGCTGATATTTGAACCTCAAACCATCAGGATTTATTATCTTCCTTGGTGTTGTATGGATTCTGCAAGAAACAACAAAGATTAAAATTCTGCGGTACATCATTCTGTTCATTGGTAACTTTCAGTCCCTTTGCCTAGTAACTAAGCAAAATTTCGTGCACCATTGAACTCTTTTTCCAATGTGTAAACTCTTTTTTGCTCATCAAAGCGTTACTGAAATGCAGGTGTAATGAACAGCTTATTTTCTGTGTATGGTAGGCCTGCAACTGTTTCACACCCTTGTTTATTTGATAAAATTCTACATTAGCATATTGATGCCTGGACATGTTTTAAATTTATACAGATATCTACGATGATCTGATATCACGAAGAGTACACCACAGTGATGCTGAGAAGTTTGCTGAAGTGTGTCCCTGTCCTTGTACTGGTGTTGGCTGGGGGATCATCTGGTGAGTTCACCTATAACTTAAAAAAGCAGCAAACCATCTGACTTCCTTTAATAAAACTCCTAGTAGTTCTTTTGCTTAAGGGAATGTCACTTGCAGGGGACTCATTTCTTTCTTGTTTCTCTGTGGAGCCACATATCTTGGTTTAGTGATCTTGTCTTGAGGTACGCCTGCTAATTAGACCATTCATTATAAGTCCTTATGTTTTAGTTAAATCCTATGTTTCATCATCATCTTCTCATCGAGTGAAGAATCTTACATGTATACAGAAGTTGTTGACTGAACTATCCTTGGATTCTAATTTCAATACAGGTGTTTCTACTCACTCCTATGTGCATGCGCGTCTTGGGCAGGGTGGTTTGGGAATGGGCAATGTGGTTTTTATTCTATAGCCAGTCACCATCATAAGCTATTAGTTCTTCCAAGGTACAAAGAGTTCAGACTTACGGAGATCGATCTTAAAATGAAGATACAAAGGAACACATTTACCAATCTATCGCTCTTTCTGGAGATGGTTCTCTTCTAATTCCATTGTATTTTCTTTCTGGCACATAACCGATAGAAATAAAAACAAGAATCGGTTCTGAATCATTTGCTTGCTCGTCCCGTACTCTTTTGACTTAAGTACTGCTGAAATTGCTATGGAATCATCAGAATATTGTTATGTGCTTGTTGTGGTTTCTTTCTCTTATTGATGAATAGGCCTTCATTTTAAGTGTCCTAAGCGACAGAGTGAGGCATTGTAAAGTTTAAATTAGAGCCAACTGATGAGAATCTATTGGTAAATAATAATGCAGGTAGTTCGAATTGAACCAGCCTCTTCTTGGATGAGAAGTTGGATTACTGCAGCACTTACAATTACAAACATATACGGATGCTGCAGGAGCACTTGCATCGTACATTTCCTCATTAGGCATCAGTCATAGCTTCATTCGATTTGTCTTTAACATTATACTGTTGTACATATCAGTTTAACATAGTTTCTTCACGGAACTAGTAGCTTTCTAATTTTGGATATTTTTGTTGGAGTCACAATACAATTATGTCAAATCGGTACCTTCAATTTTATCTTTATTTATATTTCTGTCAATACATGTATTTACACTCAGGCGCAGGCATAAATACATGCATATAACCACAAATATAGCCCGTAATACTTTAACCTATCTAAACTGAAAAAAGGCGGAAAACTACTTGATAAATAAGAGAAAAATCGTGAGTAGTAGTTCTATTAGTACTTTACAAAAATAACTTTATAACCTTTTGATAATAGGAGAAAAATGAAGGTCAACATAAACATTAGGAAATAATTTTTAATGTCTCATTCACACAGGAGTCCTATAAGTTCTTTCAACTATATCGTAGTAAACTTAGCAACAATGAAAATGTTTACTAAGTATGAAGTAAAATTAGCAACAAATGAAAGTGATTACCAAGTATTACAAGCATATTAGCAATTAGTACATGTAAACGAGCAAGATTATTAATCTTCTAAACAAATTTTAAAAATATGTTGAACGACGGAGTCAACAAAAGCTTCGGTACAGTATATAACCTAATTCCTATCAGCCATCGTAGCCAACCAAACATAAGGAAAATTTCTTTTTCAGGTAAACTAGAACGTTTCTATGAAACTATAGTGTAGGAAAATTAGAATAAAAATTCAATTAACAATTATTTCACGACTTCCAAAAAAATTATAGAAAAACGTCACTAAAAAACTAGAGTAAAATATTTTAACTTGGTTGAGTACTAAACTGCAGAATAGGAAGACGATTTTATGTTACTATAGAGTTAATGTAACAATCACAACTTACTGCAGCAAAAAAATCAGTACACTTATCATACACCTTGCCATATTTTGAGTACTTCTACTCTAATTATACACCTCAGATTACCAAACCCACGCTCAAGAAAAAACCTACAGGAGATAGCAACACAATACGTGGACAATCAACGAGTTCTAAAGATAATAACACCTAGGTTCGGCATAGAATGATGGAAACAGCATGGCAAAAGATTTATAAAACAAGTTGAATTATCTTTCTAGAAGATTGGAACAAAATTCCACAGAAACTCAAAAACAGTTTTAACACTGTCCTCTGCCTTCCAAACAAAATTTAAATGCCAAAATTTTATAAAGTAGCCACTAATTTATAGTTCTGCATCAAAGAGATCAAGATCACTATTTTTTATGTTTTAAGCCTCCGTGATGGGGTACTCGAAAACAACATCTTTGCCCGAAAGCTTCCTGTAAACTGCAGAAAAGGTCTCCAGCTTGTACTCGGTGTTGTTGCGCTCCTTGGGGTCCAAGAAGACCTGTCCAGCACAAACATGCACAATGATGAAGAACTGAGAAAAGTTGACAAATATAAATAAAACTAAAACATGTTTCAGAAGCTTCCTTCAGATTGAAATTATGTTTTTCTTTACTGTTAAAATAACCCCGGAGTCAATGTAATTTAGAAACAAATAGTTAAAGTGGATCTTCCGATTTTTTCCAGTAATAACAGTTTCCCAAGTAGGATTGGAGACCCACAAAAGTTAAGCAACATGATACGACTATTTAATTTCAAGAGTCATACCTTCATTATCTTGGATCCATCAATGCGATATCTAGTTCGCTTCCCAACAATCTCAGCTGGTACAACCAAGTCCTCCAATATAGCATCGTGAACAGAAGTAAGAGTCCTGCTGCGGGGTCTCTGGGCAGCAGAGCCTCTCTTAGGGGGCCTCACTATCCTCCTGGTGGCAATGAAGATTACATCCTACAAGAAAGTGAATGTCAGGATATGCTAAAAAATCATATTCTCCTGGTTGATTCTTGCATGAATATTTAGAAATCAAATAATGATCAAAAGAATATTCAACTCAATACTGAACATGTAAGCCATGTCTGACATCGCAAGCAAACTGGTATCCATTAAATAAAGCACACAGGAGTATCATTTCAGAATTAAGTTACATCAGTTAATTCATAGTTAGCCTAAAATGTACAAAAATTCCAACACTATGAATAAATAATTACTATAGAGTTCGCCACAAGAAATGGATGCATGCAAAAACATTCTTCAAATCATCAGCGAATGAACCCAAAGTGTAGAACATCAAAGATTAGAGTACAAAAATTAATAACTAGAAGAATTTCCATTCTTCAGAGTGGCATTAGGGTGAGAATCGTGCAAAGAGAACAAATAAATAAGAGTGGAGTATAATCTTTTGCCCAATCATACAAGAGATATATTGGTGGAGTCCAGTGAGCAAAGTATGCGATATCTTTTAAGACTCATCATTGGATTTTTTGATAAGGTAATTCATCATTGGAATTACGGAAATGTTTTAATTGCATCACCATATTGTCAATAATCTTAAATACAATAACAAAATGTGGCTCAATTCTAACGAACAGATTTCCAGGTACAAACTTGAAAACATATACAAAGCCAGTGACAGCAGGAAGAAAATGGCTGATGGTTACCTTTCCACTGAATTTCTTCTCCAGCTCCCTAACAAGACGGACATGGACCTTGCGGAAAGCTTTTCTCAGTCTATATGGCACGTGAATGACAACAGCTTTCCTATTTCCTGATACATCAATTTGACTGCAGCAACAGCCAAATAAATTAAGTACCACAGAACAATTCAATATATATTTACTAACAAAAATTCTGTTACACCACTCTTACGCTGCTGAATTGATGTATAGATCCTTCAATTCACTTTTCAGCTCTTGGTTGGTGTTTTCCAAGTCAAACAAAGCCTGTTCAACAACAAAATTTATATCTTCATTCCACAAACACAAAATAATCAAAAGTCGGATTCAACAAAGAACAACACAAAACCTGTGCAACGGACTCCTCAAATTCAGAAGGTTCAGCATCTTTGTCTTTGTGAATCTTTTGCCTTGACGTGTACATCTTCACAGATCTAATCAATCAACTGATTCAGCTATAAACCCTAAAACCACTATAAATAATCTGTAGAAACTTATCGACTAGGAAATAAAAATTCAAAAAATGTAACATTTTCTCCTGAAGATTCTTAGGCTCTATCCTGATGATACAATATAGGAACGACTTTCATTCAAACAGGCATTGAGATATACAGCTAATTACCAGCTTAATTAACTATTGTTCAGAAGTATGAGCATTCGTCATTTTTTTCTTTGTTCATATTATATGGAGTAGTAATTCAGAAAGATTAAGATAACAAGCTTGAAATAATTCATGCATTTCTAATCAAATAGGTAAAATGCAGCAGAAAACGTCTATTTCTGCCAATTGTCAGGTATTACAATTCTGTTTTACCCATATTTTCTTACTAGTAAGGTAGAGATAATAAATTGCTTAAACAAATGGAAATTTGGCGTAGATTTGAGGGGAAGTAAGTATTGAAGAGGCAATGGAAGAGAGTGAAGAGTACCTCTGAGTGTTCGGCAACGGCGGACAGATCTGTGAGTGTGCCGGAATCACTTGCTCTGACAGAAGATAAAAACCCTAATTGCTGGAAGTGTTAAATTACTTATAAAGAATAATCAACGGCCAGGATGAGACAAGGAGCGCTGTGCGGTTCGGATTCTGTGGGCTGAAACTCAAGTTAACAGAATAAAAATTTAGTTCGTGTTGTGTACATCTATAAGGACCAATATTGATGCCTAGCCCACGTTATTGGACAAACAAGGGGTAAAATTCATAAATAGACACTTTTTAGCCCCTATAATTGAAAAATAGCCCTGTTATGGAGTTTCACCCCCTGAAATTTACAGTACATCCGTCATTCAAAATAATAGTTGAAAAATTTATATTTTTTGAATATTAATATATAATATAATTTCTTTAGACAAAATAGTATATATTTAATTTTGTATATTGAACTAGTGGCTGTAATTATTTTTGATCACCGATCAAATGTGTAAAGCTCAATTTAACACCCCATGGCACTGACTATTTTTCAAAAATAGTGCTAATGGCCAGAAGATACTTTTTCTACACAAACAAGGTAAGTCCCAAACGTGTGAGTATCATAGCCCATCTCATATGAGGAAAGTATTAACGAGCAACTGACTCAATTAATTTTGGGGAAATTACCTGTTACGTCGGCACATAAGAAAGTTTGTAGAAAAATTAGTCAATTTATAAAATATTATTAATATTAGCTAATTAGCTATTTATAATAAAAAATATTTAATTTTTTGTTTTCTTTTGAATAGATGTTGTTGGAATATATTTGATACATCTTAAGAAGTTTAAATTTCAGTTTTGGGATGATTTTGTAGAATTTTGAGGTGGTTTGAATTGAAAATTCAAAGTTGAAGATGAACATGGAAAAAGATAATATGCGTATCACACTGTGTATCATTTATATATCTTGTATGTATCATATTTGTATCAAATGTGTATCATATATATATCTATGTGTGAGATACATGCGCCGCAGAAAAAATTTTGAACTCGATTTTAACTACAAATTTTGATATCAAATCAGTCCAAATAACCTCCAATCTTCCTCAAATTTTGTATATTGATATCTATATGTTGTCAATGAATTTCAACCATACCCATTAAAAAAGGTCGTCTTTTGCTTAGATTTTTTAAATCTTGTATATATTTTTTTTGTGTATTTCATCACCTTGTTTGCTACCCCATCCATGAAATTTCTTTTTCGTCTTGCATCTGATGTTGCTGATCACGCTTAAAAATATGGAAGGAGATTTTTGCGTGTGATTCTTGGAGAGAAAAAATCTTTATTTAATTTGGTTTTCACTTTCGTATGTGATTGATTAGTTTTGGTAAGTTTATAATTAATGGCTAAATATTAATAAATTAGAACTTATTTGAGACATTTTCCTAAGATTCCCTTAATTTTTCTTCAAAGGCTAAAACTTACTATTATTGGATACTACAATGCAATTGTAAGTTAGTTCCATAAACACTAAAACTTCCGTTGATTTATCTGAAATTTGATTGCATCTCAAACTTGAAATGCAACAATGAAAATTTAGCCTTTGAAGTAAAATATTACTGTAACTCACAGCAGTTAATTTTTTTTT